GAACAAAACCTAAAAACTAAAAGTTATATTCATATCTTACGAGTTTAAGCATAAACTAAAATTGCAAGTCATATCCTAAAGGTTCAATACATATCCTAAAGGTTCAATTTATTTCCCAAACGTTCAACTCATATCCTAAAAGTTTCAATTCATATCTTAAAAAGTTCAAGTCATACATAAAAGCTTCAATTTATATCGTACAAGTTCAATTCACAAGAACAAAACCTAAAAACTAAAAGTTATATTCATATCTTACGAGTTTAAACATAAACTAAAACTTCAAGTCATATCCTAAAGGTTCAATACATATCCTAAAGGTTCAATTTAGTTCCTAAAAGTTCAACTCATATCCTAAAAGTTTCAACTCATATCGTAAAAAGTTCAAGTCATACATAAAAGCTTCAATTTATATCGTACAAGTTCAATTCACAAGAACAAAACCTAAAAACTAAAAGTTATATTCATATCTTACGAGTTTAAACATAAACTAAAACTTCAAGTCATATCCTAAAGGTTCAATACATATCCTAAAGGTTCAATTTAGTTCCTAAAAGTTCAACTCATATCCTAAAAGTTTCAACTCATATCGTAAAAAGTTCAAGTCATACATAAAAGCTTCAATTTATATCGTACAAGTTCAATTCACAAGAACAAAACCTAAAAACTAAAAGTTCATCAATTCTTATCCTACAAGTTTAAACATAAACTAAAAGTTCAATTTATATCTTAAAGGTTCAATTCATATCCACAAAAGTTCAAGTCATATCCTTAAATTTCTATTTATATCCCAAAAATTCAACTTATATCCTAAAAGTTTCAATTCATATCCTAAAAATTCAACTCATATCCTAAAAGTTTCAATTTATATCCTAGATTTCTATAAACCCTAAATTTTTATAAATTGTTAAATAATGATAAATACAACCTAAACCCTAGGTTTCTATAAAATACAATGTTAAATAATCAATTGAAACACTAGTCATTTGAAACTAAATCATAGCTAATAAACAAAACATTATAAGCTTACACAAAAGATATAAATTGTAATTATAACCTAGAATTTTTAGGAGGTGGAGAATGAGAGAGACGCAGCAGAGGCAGAGGCGACGACGGCAGCTGGGCGGTGGTCGTTGGTGGGGGGAGGGGGGGTTTGAGTGTGAGAGAGAAAAGAGAGATTTTGGGAAATTTTTAGAAAGAATGGGAGTGGATCCCGGTTTTGACACTCTGGAATTAAAAATAGCGACCACAGTTGGTAGCTATTTTGGTAGGTAAATCAGTTTTGAATTTTTAGAAAAAAATTATATTACTCTTAATTCATTTAAAATTATATATATATGTAGTATAAATTTAGGATTTTAATTCAATTTAAGCTATATATATTATATATATTTATATTTTATCATTTTTTTAAAATAATAATATAATTATTAAAATTTTGTAGGTGGGTCCCACTTTAGCGACCAACATTGGTCACTAATCTCAGTAAATGTTTGACCAAGGAAGTCTGACCAGTCCAGTCAACATTTTGACTAATATAGCAACCAAGTAGCGACCAACCTTGGTCGCTATTTTGTTTCTTTTATTTATTTTATTATTTTCGCTAGTTTAGCGACCAACTTTGGTCGCTTTTTCCCACAGACCAATTTTGGTCGCTAAATTTTGGTCTCTTTTTTCCGGATTTCTAGTAGTGAAACGTAACAAATAAAACCAAACAAAAATAGTTAGCACAGATAGGAGTCTTTCTCCAGTATCCATTATATCCTTCATACTCTTACTAAAGTACACTTAAAACTCAACCAATGTTGAAAGTTTCGTGGACTACTGGCATACCTTGAATCTAGCCTGCAATCATTTTGCACCTTTCTTATCAAATTTCTAGTTAGAGAGAGAGCTAACTGCTGCCAAAATGCAGCAGTTTTTCTTATATATGATAGCACCCCTTTGCCCTCCTCGTTCAAGTAGTTAAAGAGTGAAAAGGCGCAGTGAAAGAAGGGAAAGATATCTTTCCAAGAGATTCTACCTATTAAGGCATTGCAGGGTTTATCTGGGGCTGAGGTTGAAATCTATGATATTACTTATCGCGAAGGTTGTTGGAATTGCAGGGTTGTTTGACTTTTCTGGTGAGCCTGAGGTTATTGGAAAAGAAATTGTTAAGTGCATGGATTTGGCCAAGGATGGGATCCATGCTGTTCTTTTAGTTTTGTCTGTGCGAACGCGGTTTTCAAGAGAAGAACTAGCTGCAGTGCAGAGCTTTCAGGAGTTCTTTGGGAACAAAATTAGTGATTACATGATTGTAGTTTTCACTGGAGGTGATGAGCTTGAAGATAGTGGTGAGACTTTGGACGGTTACTTAGGCCATGACTGCCCTGAGCCTTTAAAGGTAAGATTATGTGCAGACATTGTTTTGTCAAATATATTTGCACCCTAGCCTTCTGAATTATGATTCATTTTTGGCTATTTCCCTTATTTTGGCGAGTTCTTTATCTTTGAAGTTTAATGCCAAGCATTTTCACGCTGTGATTGTGCATATGGTTTCTAAGCCGAGGTTCTACCGGAAACAACCTCTCTGCCTTCTTAAAGGTAGGGGTAACGTATACGTACACGCTACTCTCCCAAACCCTACATGTGTGATTACACTATGTTGTTGATGTTGTTGTTGTTGACTGTGTTTATGATTGAGAAAAGTGTTGTTCTGAAGTATTGTTTGCATTACCTTTACAGGAAACTCTTAAGTTATGTGATAATAGGAAAGTGCTTTTTGACAACAAGACTAAAGATCCAACAAAGAAAGACGACCAATTGAAAGAACTTCTTTCGCTTGTGAATCTGGTTTTGGAGAAGAATGATGGTGTACCATATACAAATGAATTGTTCAAGGAATTACAGGTTTGTATTTAATATAGTTCGATTGGATTATATTCTTAACTATCCTTGTTAGTACTTTACACAAGGAAGGTGACTTTTAACCCATTTACTGAACATGAAATTTCATATATAATCAGGCCATGAAGATTAGTTCCTTGATTGGTGATGCTGAGAACGGGAAAAATGAGTCGACGGAACCAATTCCCAAGTATTATGAGGAGAAATTTACGCGACTAACTGAAGTGGTAAGTATCATTATATTGCTGAAAAACTTTTGCTTTTTTTCTATATGAAAACATCTGTTTGTCCATGGAAAATGAGTATTTGATATTTGTATCTGAATGTGTATCTCTAGCTTGTTTAGAGTAAGTTGATAATAGATTCCATATTTATCAGAAATGGCTTGATTTTCTCATGCTGTTGCAGATTGCTTCTTAGCTTTCATTAATTGCTGATATTATTTCCAACTCTCCCTGCTCCCAATATAGTTTTACTGATAATCTTTTACTTCAGAAATTCTTTAAAAATCTGTTGTTAGGTAAATCCTGATTAGATCCCGATTCACTACTAGAAATCCGGAAAATACCGATCAAAAAAACCGACCAACTTTGTCGGTTATGCCAATTACCGACCAAAATGCAACCAAATATGCTTGGACGGTATTTTGATGATCGTTTTAATATACCGACCAACATTGGTCGGTCAATTAAATTCAAAAAAAAATATTGCAAAAAAAAAAAACGACCAAAGTTGGTCGGTATTTTAATTATGTAATCAAAAGATTCACTATTTGGGAATCGAATAGTGAATCTTTAAAATGACCTGCCGAATTTACCGACCAAAGTTGGTTGATTTTTTTAATATTAATTTTTATTTATTTTAATTGCAAAAACCGACTAAAATTGGCCGATTTCTTGAAAAATAATTTTTGTGAGACTCAAAAATATTTTCCCGCATTTTTGCGCCAAAGGAAACCGACCAAAGTTGGTCGGTTTTTCTTGGTATATTAGAAACATCAAATTCAGCAATATTTTTGTAGCGGAGCGAGTGCAAGAATTAAGGTCTGTGTATTTGCATGTTTGATAGGTTACGACTATTAAAGACTACATCACGATATGCAGTTTTGTTTTTTTGTTTTTCCAGCGGCATTTTGTCTTAAAGACTTTAATACTAAGAAAGATCCTTCTGAAACATAATATTTTACTACCTCAATAAATGCTCGAGACGTTAAGACCGGGTTCCTAAAAGAAGAGGTTACTGGACAAGCGAAAGAGACGCCGAAAGAGCATATGCTTTTATTTGAAACAAAAGCATTGGCATTTTGTCGTTAAGATCATGATACTACAATTTACAAGTTAGAAGTCTTTCGAATTCTGTTACAATTTTTAGAGGCTTTTGGAAAAAACTGTTATGTAGTAAACATTAATTTGAAAGTTAAATATTTGCACTATCTTATTATACATAGAGGATAGCTTCATTTGATGAGTATTTTAATTCTCTTCTTAGTGGATTCCATCATGCCCCACTGTTGTAAGGGTACCATTCTTCTATTTCATAATATGTGATCAAGTCTACTCTTGTGTTTGTAATTCATTGTCCCGTTTAGTTTGGTGACTCAACCCAACTTACATGTTAGACAATGTATAGCCGCTCTCAAAATATTAACCGAAAAAATATTATTTTATTTATATGTATGTATATATTGTATGTTATATACAAAAGTTATATATATTGAATACCTTTTTCGGCTATCGAATGTATATAATTTTTGACGCAATCAAAAATTGATAGTACCCCAAACTGAATTGACTCATCAAACTATTGGGTCGAAATGGTATAACCTAACAGTGGGGGAAGTGCACAGTTAGCCACTAATAATACATATATTTACTTTTAAGTCACTATTTAAAATTTCTTTAGTCACTGCTTTAATAAACTTTAACTGCCCGGACGAAAATACCCTTCTGCTTATGTCCTTAACTTCAGGATAACATGTCCTTAACTTTTGAACTTGTAACTCTATGTTCAGGACTTCAGGACTACATGTCCTTGACTTTTGAACTTAACTTCAGGACTTCAGCACTACACGTCCTTAACTTTTGAACTTGTAACTGTAAGTTCAGGACCAAGTGTCCTTAACTTTTGAACTTGTAACTGTAAGTTCAGGACCAAGTGTCCTTAACTTTTGAGCTTGTTGGTCTAAGTTCAGGACCTATTATCCTTAACTTTTGAGCTTCTTAGTCTAAGTTCAGGATCTATTGTCCTTAACTTTTGGGCTTCTTAGCCTAAGTTCAGGACCTATTGTCCTTAACTTTTGAGCTTGTTAGTCTAAGCTCATGACTTCATGACCTATTGTCCTTAACTTTTGAACTTGTAACTGTAAGTTCAGGACCTATTGTCCTTAACTTTTGAGCTTGTTAGTCTAAGTTAAGGACCAAGTGTCCTTAACTTTTGAACTTGTAATTCTAAGTTCAGGACCAAGGGTCCTTAACATTTGAACTTGAAACTCGAAGTTCAGGACCAAGTGTCCTTAACTTTTGAACTTGTAACTGTAAGTTAGGATCCATAACGTAGCAGAAAACAAAACGTCATTTGTATTTCTTAATTCAGTTTCTGACTGGTGTTATTTCATTGTTTAGTCAGCAACATTGCGTTCACAACCAAAATCTACAGTAGGAACTCCGGCCTATATCGCAAGTCTTATCAAGAAAAGAATATGATGGAAATGTAGGATATAATAACCTTAAAAATACAGCTTCAATTAATGAATTAATCTGTTGACCTAATCTTCAAGATTTATATGGAATGAATGTCACAAGAAATTAGGTTCTTTATGTAGAGAAAAAAAAAATGAAGAACTTGTAGGTTCTTTGTATAGCGGAAGACTGGAATGAAAAATCTACATTAAATGGATGTCACAGGAAATTTAAACGAAGAACTTATAGATCTTCATACAGCGAAAGACTGGAACGAAAACGAAGAACTTATAAGTTTTTCACAGTTCTTCTCCCTAACATGAAAAGAGATAGAAGAAAGGGTGACAAGTCTTTTCATATTAATTTTAATAGACTAGTGGCTACTATTGCTAAGCATTGAAAATAGTGGATAAAAAATAAATACCATTTTAAAAAGTGGCTTCTCCACACAATTTTTATCCTAATAGTTTAGAGAAATGTATTCACTTTCACCTCCTTTTTCTTTTTGAAAAGCAAAATGGGTTCGGTCATTTTGGAGGATTATGAGCCGTAAAAATAGCACGGTATAGCCAGTTTTCGGACAGGTCATTCAAAAATAGCCAGTGTTTACGAAGTCAATAAAAATAGCCATTATTTTGCTGCAACAGAGACTGATCCAGCATAATATACTGGAGTTCGGTGCACCTGTGTATGAACTGCAGCATATTATGCTGGACCGGTATACTTTGCTGACTCCAGTATAATGTACTGGAGACTGGAGCACCGGTGCTCCAAACTCCCGTATATTATACTGGACAATTATACTAGTTGGAACTCCAGTATATTATGCTGGAGTTCTAGTGTACTTATGCTGGAACTCCATCATATTATGCTGGAGTTCTGGCATACTTATCCTGGAACTCCGGTAGAATATGCTGGAGTTCAAGCATACTTATGCTGGAACTCCAGTATAATATACTGGCGTATTTTTTGGGTTTTGAATAGTGTTTTTGCTCAGATTTATCTTTACATGAAAAGTGGCTAAATTTTGATTACTTTTGAAATTGGACTATTTTTGAACGATCAGTTGTAAATCTGGCTATTTTTGAATTTCTCCCTTATGAGCCGTATTTGATCCATTTAGGCCCAATTTATTTTGAATCCAGCGAACTTTGGGCTCGTTCATTTGGCACTTCAGATGACGAAATTGTTTTAGGATTTTTAAAAAAAGGGACCCAGTCAAAGTTTCCTTGATGACTAAAGGAGCACCGTTCATCTACACGCTAAACCAATCCTTCCACAAGTATCAACTGCATGTTCCCCTGGATTTGCACAAAGTTAAAATAGTACTGACTAGCGAGTTTTCGAATTGGTCATTCAAAAATAATCAATATTTGCTAAGTCATTGAAAAATAGTCACTGTTTTACTGTAACAAAGACTGGTCCAGTATAATATACTAGATTTCGGTACACCTGTGTATAAACTTCCGGCATATTATGGTGTTCTAGTATACTTTGCTGGAACTCCAGTATAATATACGAGACTCTGCTGGAACTCCTTTATATTATACTGGAATTTCGGTATATTATGCAGGAGTATTTTTCGGACTTTGAACAGTGTTTTCATTCATATTTATATTTACATGAACAGTGGCTAAATTTCGATAACTTTTGAAAGTGTGGCCATTTTTGAATGACCACTTGTAAATCTGGCTATTTTTGAATTTCTCCCTTGCACAAATGATTTATATATTCTTTTTTCATTTGTCACCTTTTAAGTTTTGACCTTATTAAAAAAAGAACTATAAAAAAATAACTTTTTCGCCGGATTATATATGCAACAAAATCTCAAAATTTCTTATCTGATATTGGGCATAACTTAAAGTGAAATTCAAAAATAGTCAGATTTACACGTCGTAATTGAAAAATAGCCACTATTTAAAAAATAATCGAAATTTAGCGTCTCGTTCGGCTGCTTAAGGTTTCGAGCAGCTTCGTATTATGTGTTATGACTTGTATGTGTGATCGAGTTCGATTTTCGGATTATTCGGGATCAATTTGGAAGAAGAATTCTTGTTTAGAAGCTTAAGCGGTAAGAGTTGATCGGAGTTTGACTTTTGTACAGATGACTCCGAAATGGCGTTTTGATATTTTGAAGTTTTGAAAGGTTGAGAGGTTTGACCGGGAGTTGACTATATTGGGTCGGATTGCGATTTTGAGAGTTGGATTAGCTCCGTTGTGTCATCACGGACTTGCATGCAGAATTCGACGTCATTTCGGGTTGATTTGATATGTTTCGACACGAGTTTTGGAAGTTGGAAGATTTGGAAGTTTATAAGTTTGATTCGAGGTGCAATTCGTAGTATCGACATTGTTTGATGTGATTTGAGGCCTCGAGTAAGTCTGTGTTATATTATGGAACTTGATGGTATGCTTGGACGGGTTCCCAAGGGCCCCGTGTGTGTTTCGGACGAGCTTGAGATCATTTTCATGCTTTGGGCAAGTCTGGTTCTAGTGCTTCGCATCTGCGACATTTTAGAGCGCAAGTGCGGCTCCGCTTCTGCGTGAGTGTAATTGCTTCTACGATGATTAAGGCTTGGCAGGAATCTTTGCTTCTACGGAGTTTTGCACGCAGGTGCGATGGCCGCTTTTGCGGCGCAATGATCGCATATGCGAAGCTGTTCGCTTCTGCGGCTCGTTTGACCCTTCTGTGTTGTTGCAGGTGCGACTGTGTTTTCCACAGATGCGGATCCTGGCCTGGTA